CTCGATGTCTATTGGGATTTCTAAAATATTCGTTACTTAAACTTTTCCTCTATAATACAAATGGAGAGAAATTCTTGTACTCACACTTCAGACAGTATAATATACAGTGTGTCCCAGGTTGACCGCACCATAGGCAAACAGAAACAATGTATTTTTTCGCGAAGGATCCACGAAGCCTTTGATATGTATTTGAAGTTAGCGTTCAACGTACGTTATTGCGCTTGTCTGATGCTAAGAGATTGGAGTAGTACCTTGAATGCTAATTTCAAAGGCCTCATGGATCCTTCGCGAAAAAATACAGTGCCGTTTTCCTATGGTGTGTTCTACCTTGGACACACTGTATAAGTACGTACTTATACAGGGTTTCCGGGACGGAAAAAATCTGAAAATTTCGGAATCAAAAAAGAGGAGAGATAACGGATAATAAAAATTGCATTTTAGAAGCTTTTATCACTTTCATACACTCGGGAGTTTTGTTGGAGGGTAATAACCTCAAAATTTTTAAATTGCAGCCCTAGTCCAATTTTACCAGAAACGCATTCTCGATCTTACACCACTCGATTTTTCTTTTGGGGGTTTGCAAAAAATAGACTGTATGAAACAAATCCAGAAACAATAAATGATTCGAATAAACCACCAATATCACTAGGGAATAGGGATCTGCTTCAAAGGGTTCAACATTCCAATTATGTTTTGAGAATGTGGTTCTTTTTTAATTACCTTTAAAATAAGGTGAAACTCGACCTCCTACAAAGGGTCCATGGTTCCAATCCGGGCCGGGTGTATGGATATTTGTAAATGTATAGTGGGTTGGGTTGGTAGATCAGCATCGGCTGAAGCCCCGCCCACTCAAAAATAAAGGCAAAATAAAAAATAAATAAATAAAAGATTGTAGTTATGTTATTATGTACACTGTGGTTCAGAGGTTTTTATTTATCGGAGTAGCACTGGCACAGACAACATATACTATGTTGTCTGTGGTACTGGTGAATATCCGGCTCGCTTGGTTGCGGGGGTGCTGTCTCCATCTATGACCGTGCTAGACTGCTACGTATATTATCTTGCGCCAAGCTAAAAATGGTTTTTCATTTTTCCACTTTTCGATCGATTTGGGAGACATCAATATCCTTTATTAAAGGTTATTCATATTATTAAGGATCCTCAAATCCTTTATAGTTTTGTATGGTTGTTCAATTGCAGAATAATCGGGGATTGAAGAGAATTAAGTAATAATACAATATATGGTCGTAAAAATGGTGATGGTAATGCTGAGGATCCTTTGAAATTGCTTTGTATCGGTTTGATTCAATTGTTGGATCGTGAGGATCTTAATTCTGTCGATTCTACTGAGTAATTTCGCCTTCTTCCTTTTTCGATCGATTTTCACTTTGCATTATCAAAAATTCATCTTTAGGCTAATAAACTATCAATATAGGTATTATTAAATCGTGACAAATTTGACATCCCTTAAGGCTACAGTCCAAAGTGTTTTAAGAAAACTCTGCTCCTATGAAATCTGACGTCGGTGGTTTATCGATCGAAATTCGTCCTTTCCTAATCGATAAATCTATTTGTATTGCATAAAAGCTTTATTAAAAACTTGTTCCTTTTGCTAGAATTAATGTTGATGTAGTTAGGTAATTTATGTGACACACGCACAAATTTGCTGACTCTACAGGCTGAAATTTATTAGCACATTCTTGCCCCACTAGCCATTTTCGATCGATTTTGGAGGCAATGTTACACACTCTCCTTTAGTGATTGTTACCTTTGATGCACTGATTGAATCGTGCAAAATTTAACTTTGCTGATTCTATAGGGCAATCCCTGTCGAACTGTGACTGATTCTTTTTCACTATAGATTTTGGAGGCAAAGTACTTTATCAGACATCGTTTTTAGCACTTAAAGCTATTGTTGGAGAGTTGGAGACTAAATTAACTGTTGTTGATTCTGAATTCGAAAGCATAAGTACAGGTAATGTCTCCAACAAGCATATTACTAATATAAATAAACCAAGTGCTCAAAATGTTCGGTTTGGAAGTCATTCCCTAAACAGTCACACACATTTTTAGTTAAACTGAATTAATACCTATATTGACTCATATTATGAAGTCAATAAGTTTATTTCTATGGAGACTAAGTTAAAAGTAACATGAAAGACTGAAGTAGGGATATTTGTAAGATTTCGTTTTAGTCCTTAACCGTAACCAGACCTGGGCAGTATTCGATTTTGTAAATACTTTTTAGCGCATTTCCACAAAAATAAAAAAAATGCGCTATTGTGGCCACTTTGTCCGTCCGTCCGTCCGTCCGTCCGCTCGTTTTGCGACGCTATTAGTTCTTTATCTTAAGAGCTATTGTTCTACTTTTTTCGCTATTTGGTTCGTTATGGTGTCGAGTCTTGTACCAAGGAAGGAATTTTTTCTGTATCTACCGCTTACAAAAAAAGTTATTGTAAAAAAAACCAAAAACCGTTTTTTACATGTTCCATAATTTTACACTTTTGCCGTTTATTAACGATCCTAGAGATCGGTTAGAATTTTGCATTGCTATCTGTCGTCTGCCTGTTGGTCTGTCCGTCTGTTCCTTTGTCTGTCTGTCCATCTATCTGTCCGTGTGAACGATAACTTTGTTTAGAAATGTTCGATTCGCTTTTACATCTCCGTTAGTTATGAACTGAATTGCATGAAATTCAATATGGGCATAGTTTAGCCATATAATACGCAATGCCAAAAGTTAAGTCGAATCGATTCAAAATTCACAGTGCCCTTTTCGCATCTCGACCATTTATAAACCGAATTGCAAACTTTTTTACTTATAAAAGTATTTGAATGAAATTTGATACATAGGCACTTGGGATAAAGGAAAATCAAACGCCAATTTCAAAATTTGGTTTTGCGCATGCGCAGTGCCAACTTTTTTATTTATGGAAGAATTTAAATGAAATGTGATACATAGGCACTTGGAATAAAGGAAAATCTAGCGCCAGTTTCAAAATTTTATTTTGCGCATGCGCAGTGCCAAATTTTTTATCTATGGAAGCATTTAAGTGAAATTTGATACTTAGGCGCTTGGAACAAAGGAAAATCTAACATTAGTTTCAAAATTTAGGTTTGCGCATGCGCAGTTCCAACTTTCTTATTTAGAAAAGCATTGAAATGAATCTTCTCATAAACTGAAATTGAAGTAGCACGTCAACAATGGATTGCCCATGTGCAACGCTATCTTTCATATTTGTGGCCGGATTTTTACGATTTTAACGACGAGCGGACGGACGGACAAAGTGGCCACAATAGCGCATTTTTTTATTTTTGTGGAAATGCGCTAAAAAGAAACACTGTCCTTGGGATGTCCATTGTAGAAGAAAGAAATGAACCAAAACAATTACGAATACATATATAGGTACGGCACAAAAAAATCAATAGTTGGAAACTGTTGGTTTCAACAGGATGGTGCACCCGCACACAACGCTCTAATCGTGCGAAAATACCTATTGGACACATTTTTCATTTTCCAAGTCCCAAAATGTGTTTCTTTTTAAATTTTTTCCCAGTAACCATAATAAATAAGATGGCATTAATGACAATATGTACCTTTTAAAAAGTGAGACAGAAATTCCAACTGTAATTCTAAGTGGGAAAGAATGATTAGACCTTCCAGAAATTTGGTGTGTACACTCTGTGATTTAAGAACAATGCCGAACAGTTTTTTCATTCAACAAAACATGCATACATTCAAATAACAAGCATAAATTGGCACAAATCTTGTGCAGATAAAACGCATTTTTTAAAAACCGTAATAGCTTAGTAAACAGTTCGGTTATAAGGCAGTGTACCTTCATGCTAGATGATTAAAGAGAAGGGGACACATAAATTAAATAATTAATTAATGAATGCAAGTGGAAATGCGCTTTATGTAAATCGTTTACGATTACTTTTTAACTTGTTTAAATGTTTTCTCTAATGATAAGGTAATAAGATAATCTTATAATTAGAGAAAAAATTGAAAAAAGAAACACCGTCAAGTCATTGGCAGTACCTACCATTAGTCTGTAAAAATCAGTTTCATTCATCCAACCGTAACCTAGTTATATCTGTAGGCAGTTCGTGAAAAACCCACTAAGAATTGTTTTTTTACGAAGTTATCAAAAGTTCGCGATTTTTAAAAATATTTTTTAAGAGCTATTATCATCGTTTTCATTTGGTGTAGGTATAACTTATTTTCTCAAAAAACAATCATTTAAAATTGGCACCGCAAGAAGTACCGTCATATGATCTGAGGCGGCAGACGATCGATTTTAGCATACTCTAATAGGCCAAAGTGGAAATGGTCCTCATGGTTTAGTTCATGGCAATTTGGGTGAATGCCACCGAAAAATGTCTGACCTTCTACAATCCGTCTGATTGAAGTGAGTGGAACTATGTGAATGAGAAGTTTAGAATCAAATGGTTTGAAGGATCTCAGTAGTCAGTATCCTATCGCTATCTCTGTTCGTTATGCTCCCGTGCACTTATCTCTCACACGCTCGCACTCGCTGGGATTTACTATACCTAAATTTCTGCCACTGTTAAAGCTACACTTAAAATATCGTCTGCCAGGATACATTTTAAGTAGTGACAAAAAGAGGAACTTTTTTATGTATAATTGTTATACGGTCCTCATGGTTTAGTTCACGAGTGTTTTTCCCTACATTGAAGGGCGTCTGTCGCCACCAACGCTGCACTTGAAATCGCTGCCATAGCATATTCGAAAACTATTGGAAAAATGGTGTTACTTGATATAAATGTTTCCGTGACCCTTATAGTTTAGTAATTTAGTTGATCACCTAAAGAAGACACACATTCAGCACCGCCCCAAATTAATGCTGCCACTTACGGCTAGAGACGGGGACTTGATTACTAGTTTTCAACGTACTTTCAGCCTGCGTTGGCGAATATTAAGTTAGTTCATGGTTCAGTTAGTATGTACGCTGCCTCCCGGTCTAAATTCTTCACTATTGGATTTTTTAATTTATACATGTCCAAAGATCAGTGCTATTACGATGTAATGTTCCTTTACCTCTTTCAGAAATGGGTAGATTACAAATTAAGGTGGGACCCAGAAGAGTACGGGGGCGTGGAGCAACTCTACGTTCCATCCGAACACATTTGGCTTCCAGATATCGTTCTTTTCAACAAGTAAGTTACTTTTACTGAGTGCGCCAAAAGTTGTGTGCTATACAATCTACCGCAGAAGTAGGTAATTACCTACATTATAACCACAGCTTACTTACTATCATAACATTACAATTTTCTTTACAGCGCTGATGGAAATTACGAAGTTACGCTTATGACTAAAGCTGTTTTATCATACACAGGGGAAGTGGTGTGGAAACCACCCTCTATTTATAAATCATCGTGCGAAATCAATGTGCAATATTTTCCTTTTGACGAACAGAGCTGTTTGATGAAGTTTGGATCCTGGACCTATAACGGATATCAGGTAAATATGTTAAGTGATAATTAACAAGACATTCAGCCCTGTGATGTATTTTATTTTGTTTTATTTAGGATGGACAACATAACATTTTCTACAGATAATTTGAGTCTGTTAACAAATGGCCGTCAAAACTTTATTTTGAGATATTTTGAGTTCAATATTATTGGTAAATGCTGAAATATCCACAAAGGAAGAAAAAATGTTGATTTTATACCTTCTCATTCAGATATAGGGTTAGGGTTTAATTGTTTGACATGTCTTATATTATATTACAAAATTGTAATCGACTGGGCGAATAAAGTAATTTGAATTTGAATTTGCGTTGTAACGAAAATGGAACGCACCTTCGCAGCACAGACAAGGGGACTTTCTAACAAAATTTTCTACGTCCCTCAGTGTTGAACCTCGAACAGACTCATAAAATGTACACTGAGATATTTGCTCTATTGGTTGTGAGAAAGATGCGATAAAAATAAAACCAAGGGTGTTAGTAATAATTTTTAAATCTAAAACGCAGAAAGTTAAATGTACCTAAATGTGGTTCACAGAAGTTTTTTTGATTTTTGTGTTAATTGGACATTTTCACTATAAATTATAGCCGAATCTCTATTTTGATTTCACCATTCTCACGCTTAGTTTGACGTTTTGGAAATCATGCGGTCGGAATATTTAAGTTTCGACATTAAATTTTCACACGAAATTCGCCCAGATTACGAAATGCAACACTTAAAGATTAAACTTGTCACCAATTTATCTTGAGATGCCTGGTTTCTGTTTTGCTCTTGTTTAGTTTGCTTGATGAGGGTTCGACGTATCACACAAACAAGCTTATTCCTCATTCAGATGTAACATTAATATGCAATGACGGAATTATTATGAGATTATATTAAATGTGAAATTGCGTGTAGTACCTACCTATACACTAATGCAAATCGACAGTTCTGCTTCTGGACCACTTCTCCTTGAAACCTTCAATTTTTCATAACCCAAAGCCACATAATTTATATACATACCTATAGTCACCGTGTTTTCCTTTAATTCTTCTATTTCTTTGTAACAATAACTCCGTGATTTCAGGAAAATGATTAAGTTCATAAAAAGCGAAATTACTGCTTTTATCGGATAAAAATACCTCCTCCCCAGACATTCCTCACCCTTAAT